GATGTTACACACACACACACATTTCTGTTCATGAAATTCCCTGTGGCTGACTTGATTTTCTAATGCCAATCTTTATTAGTTAAAGTTATAGTTAAAGCATGTTAAATCCAGATACATTAAGTAATTTAACTCTCATTCCAGATGAATCCCCCAGTTCATCCCCAATGACCCGCATCCCTGAGCTCCCCTGCGCCATCGCGCGTAGAGTCGTCCTTCGAACGCCACCCTTCCGGCAGAATCGCACACAGCCGGTGAAGGTGGGGGCGCACCTGAGGGCAATATGGGCATGGGATGGTGGTGCCCCAGTGATGTGAACCTGACTTTATATAAGGGTGATGTTTTTTTTGTTTTTTTTTCCCAGTCTGGGGCAGTTTTCCTTGCTATTTGCTACATATTGGTGCTAAAATCTCTGATTTGCGTGTTATTTCCTGCATTTTGGAGCCAAAATCTCTGATTTGCGTGCTATTTGCTGCATTTTGGAGCTAAAATCTCTCTGATTTGTGTGCTTTTTGCTGCGCTGTTGAACTAAAATCTCTCATTTTGTATAGCTGAAGTCGCAAATTTGGGTGGTTAAAATCGTAAATTTGCACGATAATTGCAACATTTTAGTTTTCACCAATTTTCCCCATGGTTTTCAACGATGTCTGGATGGTTTTCATCGCTTTCTTGATCGTCTTCAATGATCTTTCCGTGGTTTCAAAGATTCTTTGTTTCTTCTAGGGTTCTTGAGGGTTTAGGGTTTCATTTAGGGTTTCTTTAGGGTTTCATTGAGGGTTTCTTTAGGGTTTCATTGAGGGTTTCTTTAGGGTGTCGTTCAGGGTTTCTTTAAGAATTCTTTTAAGGTTTCTTTAGTGTTTCATTTAGGGCTTCTTTAGGGTTTCATTTCGGTTTTCTTTTAGGGTTTCATTTCGGGTGTCGTTTAGGGTTTCTTTAGGGTTCTTTAGGATTTAATTTAGGGGTATCTTTAGTGTTTCATTTAGGGCTTCTTTAGGGTTTCATTTAGGGTTTCATTTAGGGTTTCTTTTGGGTGTCGTTTTTGGCTTCTTTGGGATGTGATTTAGGGTCTCTTTAAGGTTTCATTAAGGGTTTCTTTAGGGTTTCTTTAGGGTTTCATTTAGGGTTTCTTTAGGGTTTCTTTAGGGTGTCGTTTAGGGTTTCTTTAGGGTTCTGTAGGATTTAATTTAGGGGTATCATTAGTGTTTCTGTGAATCTAGGGCCAGTGAATCGACACGTCAACTCATTTACATTCACAATTCAATCGACTGCTGTGTGCAGCGTGGGTGCGGCCCAAGCGGGCCCTGTGCTACTGGGCGAAGCGTAGCAAAACAGCAGAGGTGCGCTGTTTGCTAGTTGACGTAGGTTGGTGCTGCCACTGCAGTTTGTCGCTCTGCAGTGGTAGCGGAGCACAAGCTCCTACCTTTGGGTGTTAGAGCCATGGCGGCTCGTGTGCCGTCGTCGCACGGCAGTCTTGACGGTGATCCTGCTGAAGGAGGTGAAGGTTTCAGACAACCGGCTGCACCGACAGTGGAGCCGGAGGATGACCCGTTTGACTCTGACGAGTTTCGGGAGTTCCTGAGAGAACGTCGGTTACGAGGAGGTCGACGAGCCGAAGTGGGAGCAGTTCATGCCCGACCTGTTGGGCGATCGGCGAGACGACCAGAGGATGATAGCGATGATGACCGTCCCAACCGTGGAGGTGGCGCCGGACAACCACCAGAATGGGATGGGGTGAGCCAGACCTTTCAGGATTGGCTCATCAAGTGCAAGCTTTGGCTGGCGACAACCAAAGCAAAACCCAGGACACAGGGCCCCCTGATTCTCCAGAGACTCTCAGGGGCACCTTTCCAGGCCTTCAAACACTGGGCCAAGGATGCGGCGTGGCTGAACAATGAGAATGGAGGTTCAGCCCTTCTTGAAGCCATGAATCTACCTGAGAACTTTGGTGAAGATCGAGAAGAAGATCTCTTAGCCTCGCTTTCCAAGATCACGTATCACATGAAGCGAGGGAAAGATGAGTCCTTGAGGGGATTTTGGTCAAGATGGGAAGAAGCCTTACGGAAGATCCGAGAGCACCAGGTGATCCTCCCGGACAAGTACATCGGGTTTCTTCTTATTCAAGCTCTTGGACTTGGAGATGCTGACATCAAGAGCCTACTCTCATTCACTCGGGGGTCGATCATCTCGAGTGAGGAGTGAGGTCAGAGAGTGGGCAAGGAAACACGAGATGAAGCTGATGGCGAAGGATGTCGGCACAGAGAAGGATCGGAAAGGGACTTCTGCCTCGACGAGATCTACGGCGGGGCACTACTTCATTGAGGATGAGCACGCGGCGGAGGAGATCAACTTGATGGAGGACGCGCTGAACGAGCTCTACTCCGAGGACGCTGAGTATGAGGAGGTTGACTCGTCCCAGGTGCCCGAGGACGAGATTCTCGACGAGCACGAAGTGGCAGAGGTGCTGAACACCATGATCCAACGCAAGAAGACATTCGTCCAAAGCGCAAAGATCAAAAAGGCCAAGGAGCTTGCACGTGGGTACGGGAACTGGAAGAAAACTCCAGCCGGGTCTTCGGCCAGCTCTGGGGGGACAAGCCAAATGTCTGTTACCGGACGCTTGAAAGGTGGCAACTAATCCCTTCCTCCTAATACTAAACGTCCCCCTAATACTAAAAACAGGCATCCATCTCCAATTTCCGAAAATTTCAGTTTGGCCAATTTGACTTTTAATTGATCCCCTTTAAAAAACAATTTAAAAATCAACCTACCATTTGTGGGTTCTCCCCCCTAATACTAAAAACTAGTTCACCCCGGGGTGTTTAGTATTAGGGGGGCCTAGTCCCAATCCCTCACTCCAAGCTGCCTGGCTACTCTAGCAATTAGGGGTAAGCTTCGAACTGCCATTTTTGGCAATATTTTAATTGCGTTATATAAGGAAATTTAATTGATTTTGAGATCGGAAAAAATAGTTTTTAGTATTAAGGGTTTTAATTTAGTATTAGGGGTAAGCTTCGAACTGCCATTTTTGGCAATATTTTAATTGCGTTATATAAGGAAATTTAATTGATTTTGAGATCGGAAAAAATAGTTTTTAGTATTAAGGGTTTTAATTTAGTATTAGGGGTAAGCTTCGAACTGCCATTTTTGGCAATATTTTAATTGCGTTATATAAGGAAATTTAATTGATTTTGAGATCGGAAAAAATAGTTTTTAGTATTAAGGGTTTTAATTTAGTATTAGGGGTAAGCTTCGAACTGCCATTTTTGGCAATATTTTAATTGCGTTATATAAGGAAATTTAATTGATTTTGAGATCGGAAAAAATGGTTTTTATTATTAAGGGTTTTAATTTAGTATTAGGGGTAAGCTTCGAACTGCCATTTTTGGCAATATTTTGGTTCCCTAATAATAAATACCCCCCTAATACTAAAAACTACCTGCCGTGTTTTGTATTAGGGGGGGGAGGGGGGGGGGTTTAGTATTAGGAGGAAGGGATTACAAGATGTCTTTGGAGGCTCTGAAGGCTACCAGCCGCTGCTCGAAATGTGGACAAGTTGGACACTGGCACAAGGATCCCCAGTGCCCAAAGAACCAAGGCCGAAAGACCACCCAGGAGGCCCACTACATGGAGAAGGACAGCCAGCCTACGGACACCGAGGAGGCGATTTTCTGCGGCTTCATGGAAAAGGAGGTCGAGAAGCAGGATCACTACGACCTGGTTGAGCCCTACGTTGACTTCGCTGGTGATGAACTACGACTTCCTCCTGCAGATCGTCTACTGAGTGATTTGAGCTCTCACGAGCCATCGACCGCACCCGCGACCAATGCAACGGCTTCCAATTCGGAAGATCGTCTTTTTGGATTTGAACCGGCCGATATCGGCGCATACATGTCCGACAGCCCACTGACGGAAGGTTTTGGTTGTGATTTAGGTGTTGGTTTGGGGGTTGGTTTGAAAGCTGTGAACCGTGAAATCTTTTGGAGTGAGGGAGTTGGAAATCCCGGTAACCCGAAACCCCATGAAGACCTCTGTGGGACTATTGACACCGGATGTCAAAGGATGGCAATAGGTTTGGCCACTTTGAGGAGACTTCAATCAGCTATGCCGAATGACATGGAGATTGGGACCATCAAACAGGAATATCGTTTCAAGTCGGTTCATGGGACATCCAGTACAACACATGTGGCAACTATTCCGACTAGCTTGGGGAGACGGGGAAGTATTCTGAAACCGGCTATTTTTACTGGTGACCATTCTGAACAAGCTCCATTTCTGATTTCTCTACCATTTCTCATGGCATGCCGAACCGTCCTGCACCTAGATCCTAGTCGTGGCCTTAGAGCGTATTTCAAGAAATTTGGGTTCTCAGTTGATCTTCATATCGGACCAACAGGAGCACTCAGAATCCCTCTCACGAATTTCACGTCGAAACAATTGAAACATCTTAGAGAAACTCAAGCGGAAGTTTTGCAGAGCCAAGCCGAGTTTGAAGTGTTGAAAACCACAGCTTTTGGCCGAGACTCGAGTGACCCCGGCGCCTGCGGTGCTAACTCCGTTGAATCTGCAGCCCATGGAGAGCAACAAGCGTGTGCGTACCGAGCCACCGGAGTGGAGCACACCCGGAGGAGCTTGGTCCAGAATGGTGCTCAAGCTGCTGTTCCTCATGACCCGCATGAGCACTCTTCTGATCGGACTACTTCTTGGCCGAGACCTTCGTGGCCCCGAGGAGATGACCAACCAGGAGATGAGGGAGCGCAAGAAGCAACCATTCAGTGTATGGCCTCTCACAAAGAAGCTCGAGGGCACGCTGTCAGAAGTAGCGGAATCGGACTGTGGATTCAGCATGGTGTCCAACAGCCCGTCGAGGGTTTCGAGCACTCCATCCCCACTGGCTCTGGACATCGACTACTACATGGACCAGAATGTGGAGGGGAAGCACCCGGTCTGCGAGCACGACGAGATCTGCGATCTATGGATGTGCCGGAAGCAAGGGAGGAACTTCCAACGGATGTTCTGGCGGTGCCCACTCCCGATCGGGCGCCAGTGCCAGATGTTCCAGTGGTGCGCCCATCAGCCTCACTGGGAGGGACCGAACCAGGCGATTCAAGCCGGACGCAGCCCCAAGCCCATGGAGAAATCCCCCTCGACGAGCGCCTCTCGACCTCCCAAGCCGCCGACGACGCGAACTTCCAGCAGCCCGGTGGCTCCAACGACCCCATCTGGAGAGGAGGAGACGGAGATTCAGGCCCAGTGCAATCATCTGGGTCCCAAGTGTCGACAGGGAACCAACGGCTTCAGGGAGAAGGTGTCGTGCATGCAGTGTGGCAAGGTCTTGGTGGATCGAGCACGCAGCAAGCAGGAGATGGAAGAGCGTGCGGAGATTCGCAAGGAAAAGAAGGCCAGCGGAAGTGCGTCGACGAGCTCTCCGGGATCAAAGGAGAAGGGGGATGCAACCGACATGGAGGAGTTCCTGGAATTCCAGAAGTTCCGCGAGTGACGTCGCCAGCAGAAGAAGCCGGATGGTCCGAGCTGAGTCCAGAAGAAGAAGACTGGGCATCAAATCCAATGTTGAGCAAATCTGCCAAGCGCGCCTGCTTTCAGGCCCGACTATGTGGAAGGAACTTATGAATTTGCTCCGTACAGCGCCGACTGAAGTCCAGTCAGCGGGATTAGAAAAGCTCAGGAATTCAGCCTTCAGACATGGCCAATCGGCGGTGTCCAACAAAAAGGCATTGTCGCTTTATGCTACCCTTCTCGACCGAGATGAAAAGTCAACCAGAGTTGTGGCCGAGCTGTATAATCCAGAGAGGTTCAAGGGAGAGGCAAAAAGACAAGGTTTGATTCCAGGACAGGCTTTTGACCTGGACTTAGGACATGATTTGTTGGACCCTCACATGCGTAACGAGGTTAGGAGTTATGTCAGAACTGTTAAACCCGGACTTGTCCTGATTTCACCCCCCTGCAAATGGCACTCCATCCTTCAAAACTTAAGACCCTTTGCTGACCGATCCCCGGAAAAACAACAGGAGTACTTGCGTAACCTGATTCAAGCTAAGGTGTTACTTAGGTTCGGAGTTGAAATTGCTAAGGAAGTGGCCAGTTATGGTGGCTACTTTGTCTTCGAACACCCTGTCACATCTAAGGCATGGTCCGACCGAGTTCTACAACAACTGATGATGCGAGAGGACGTGGTCCTTGCCAAGGGCGACCAATGCATGTTCGGACTGCAATCCAAAACTGGAGTTCCGAGAAGGAAGTCTACAGGATGGTGCACTAACTCCAGCGAGATTGCGGAGATGCTGACGGTCAAATGCGATGGCACTCACGAGCACGACATGATCATTGGCAAGGACGGCTCCGAGAACAAGTCCACACAGGCGCAAAGATATCCTGCAGGATTGGTCCAGGCCATTATCAAGGGCTACAAGAAACAGATTCGAGAGGAACTCTTGCGTGTTGAGTTCTGCCGGATTGACCATCTTCTTCAAGATTGTCTCCATCTTCAGCGGATCCAGAATGAGTTGGTCCCAACCGAGCACCTCATCTCTGACTTTGACATCATGACAGCCGAGCACGAGACCGATGAGGAGCACGAGGATTCCAAGAATGACGAGATGCCTGACGATGAGGAGATCTCGGAGGAGCCGGAGACGGTTGAGGAGCCGGGAGGAGAGACAGAGGGAGCAGAGAACCCGAAATACACGTATCTTCCGAGAGAACGACCGTTCTCCCTGCCCCAGCTGGTCAAGCGAGCTCATGATGGACTTGGGCATCCTGCTAACGATCGATTGGTCCGGATTCTCCGACATGCCGGTGCTAGTCAAGAGGCGATCAGGCTGGCCCGAGAACACAAGTGCGCTGTTTGCGCAAGGCATGAGAAGGTCAAACCACCCCGACCGGCCGCACCACCTAGAAACTGGCAGGTCAACCAGGTGGTCGGAGTGGACACTGTTTGGCTACCCACTCTGGGTAAGAAAACCAAGATGGCGCTCAACATCGTTGACTGGGCCTCCAGGTTCCAGATGGTGATCCCTTTACAAAGCCATACACCAGCCGCAGCTCGAAAGGCCTACTTACAATGGCTCAGATTATTCGGACCACCTGAACGAGTCTACGTTGATTTGGGCACCGAGTTCAAGGGCACTTTCATGTTTGGCAGCGAGGTGGATTCAACGTACTATGAGCCCGCTTCACTGGAGATGCCAACTCAGAGGGGCCGGGCATCACGGAACGAGCAGGCAAGGCTTTCAAAGAGGTTTTCTCTCGAGCGTTGGAGCACCACACTTGCAGCGATGAGTCGGAGTGGCACAACTTGGTCGACATTACGATGATGACCTGCAATCGACTGATGAACAAGTCTGGATACAGCCCAATCCAGAGGGTGCTTGGATATTCCCCTCGAGTTCCCGGAGGACTACTGACCGGTGGTGGAGGAGACTTAGCAACTTTGGGGAAACTCAGTGCAGGAGACCTTGCCATCCAGAATGCGCAGGACATGCGACTCGCTGCGGCGCGAGCATTCCATGAGGCTGATTGCTCTCAATCCTTGCGCAATGCTCTACATGCTGGACCTCGACCTCGACGAGAATTCGAAGCGGGCCAACTGGTATATTTCTGGCGAAAGGGGATGGAACGAGCGCTCAAGGACAAGCCAATGTTTTGGCGTGGGCCAGCAAGGGTGATCCTCACCGCCATGCCGACTACGGTCTGGATATCCTATAGGGGCTGTATTGTCAAGGCCGCTCCAGAACACCTTCGACACGCCAACGACGAGGAGCAGCTTTCACTCTCGGGATGGATCGACGACATCACCAAGACGAAGGAGGAGATCGAACAACAACCAAGGCGAGGATACGTCGACCTGACCCTGGAGGAGATCCCCAATGAGGAGGAACGACAACAAGCTCTCCCGGATCCAGAGGCTCCCCGACTTCGACTACGACAGAAAACCGCCGCGGACAAGGTGGTCAAGAGAAGCTCACCGGACGAATGGAGATACAATCCGGCTACTGGTGAATTGATCCGAATCCACTACAACCTCAGAAGAGCCAAGTTCAGACCGACCGAAGAGCTGGCAGGTTGCCCCGTACGCCTTGAGGAGATTGACAATTGGAGGAAATCGGTCATGAAAACTCCAGATGGCCTGATGATGGATGAGGAAGAAGATGAATGGAATGGAGATGGGCCGGAACCGGATACCCTGGAGGATTGGGTTGGACGAACCTATTTTCGCCTGAAGGAGAACGTAGAAGGAGCAGCCCCAGAGTTCGAACGCATCGTTCGGCCCAGAACGGACGAACCAGCGGATCGGGCAGGAATGAACGAAGAGGTAGAAGGGGGGAACGAGATAGCTCCGGAACAAGAGGATACCCAAGTGGCTACCGGCGGGGAGGACGCAGATACCAGAGCTTCAGAATCAAGGACAAGATCCCTGCCGGAAGAGGAGGACACAGAGGATCGACCTTCAAAGAGGATGAGAACAGAATTTTTGGAGGTATATTTACAATCCCTGGAGAAGGCCATGATTGCAAAGCTCAAGAAGGAGGTTAGCTATAAGAACATGACTGCCGAGCTGAAGACCAAGTTCGACAAGGCCATCAAACGGGAGGTGCAGAACAACATCGACTCGGGAGCATATGAGATCCTGGACAGATCTGAGTCGGAACACATTCGACGTACAAAGCCGGACAAGATAGTCCAGTCCCGATATGTCCTGACTGAGAAGGGAATCGAAGCCGAGGATGTTGAGAAGGCCGAGTTTGAAGGAGTACTGATCTCCAAGGAAGGAGATTCCAGCAAGAAGGCAAAAGCCCGACATGTGATGAAGGGATTCAGCGAAGAGAACTCGGAGTACTTAGAGGTGACTACCCCGCAAGTGGGACGAGAGACGGTCCTATTCACCCTGCAGCTATTGGCCAGCCTCAAGTGGATGCCTGGCTACCTTGACTTCACCCAGGCGTTCCATTCAGGAGACGAACTCCAGAGGGAAATATATGCAGAACTTCCTCATGAAGGACTTCCCGGATGCCATCCGAGACAACTTCTACGACTACGAAAGTGCTGTTATGGACTCCTTGATGGTCCCTTTCAATGGTTCAGTCATTTGCAACGGATCTTGGTTCAGGAGCTGGGATATGAAGCAAGCACTACGGATCCCTGCCTATTTCTCCTGTTTGGAGAAAACCGGAGGTTACGAGGAATCATCTCTGTTGCCACCGATGACCTACTACATGGAGGAGATCAACTACACTGGGAGAAGATGCAATGGTTAAACAAAAACTACAAGCTCGGGAAGTTCAGTCAAGGAGATGGCAGGTTCGTTGGCAAGGAGATCAAGATGCAGGAGGACGGCGGCATTCTCATACACCAACCGCTGTATACGAAGGAGAAGGTCAAAGAAATTCCTATCTCTCGAGATCGGAAGAGCCGGAAGTTCACCCTATGCAACAAGGAGGAGATCACACAACTTCGAGGACTTCTGGGATCACTTGCATGGTTGAGTAAGGAAACGAGGCCGGACTTGGCAGGTAGAACAGCGTTGCTCCAACAGAGCATGCCACAGCCCTACATCCAGGACCTCTTGGACGCGAACGCTTTGGCGAGAGAAGCTTTGCGGTCCCCATCGACCGGGATCCGGATCCAGCCCATACCACCTGAACGACTTAGGGTTGGTACCATCACCGATGCGTCCTGGGGTAACGTCAAGCCTGACTTCCACGACGAGGAGGACAAGGACTACTGGCTGGAGACAGCCAGCAGCTGGATCAGAGTGCATCGACAACCTCGTCGACTGAAATTCCACCCTGGTGCTGCTCCCGGAGGACCTGATCTCTACGAGATACAGAACCACCGAGTGACGGAGTCCGACGATACGCAGCACACCGACCAATGGAACCATCGAGACAGTCAACTTCCAATTGGTGATCAGCCCTGGCGGGGTCGCACGACATTCTACAAGAAGAAGGCCGAAGCAGGTAAGAAGGAGGTGATCAATGAGAAGTTTTTACAGAATCAACGACTCGCGAGCCAAGGAGGATATATCACCTTCTTCTATGATTCGCAGATGGAAGTGGAGGAGGCCGCATTCCCAATTTCAATTATCACTTGGAAGAGCTACAAGGTCAAGCGGTGCACGGTGAATACTTTGTCTGCGGAGTGCCAGGCGATGATTCAAGGAGTCGGATCACTTCATTGGATCCGCGCCCTTTTGGAGGAGAGCAGAGGAACTATACTACGACTGGAAGACTGGGAACAACAAATAGCTTCCACTCCCTTCATTGCCATCACCGACTCCAAGAGCCTGTACGACACGGTGTCGAAATGTCGCAACACGGCTTCACATATTAGTGACAAAAGGACTGCAATTGATGTCACTATCCTCAAATCTGATTTCAAGAAAACCCAGGGTCAAATTAGATGGGTGGAGGGTAGCCGAATGGTTTCTGATTCTCTTACGAAAAAGATGAGCGGTTCGTTTTTGAGGTCTGTCATGGAAAAAGGTCAGTGGTCGCTGTCGGAAAGAGGGTTCCAAACACAGGAATCCACAATCCTTTTAGTGTCGATTCAATAGAGAGTGGCCGATGTGAATCTAGGGCCAGTGAATCGACACGTCAACTCATTTACATTCACAATTCAATCGACTGCTGTGTGCAGCGTGGGTGCGGCCCAAGCGGGCCCTGTGCTACTGGGCGAAGCGTAGCAAAACAGCAGAGGTGCGCTGTTTGCTAGTTGACGTAGGTTGGTGCTGCCACTGCAGTTTGTCGCTCTGCAGTTTCATTTAGGTCTTCTTTAGGGTTTCATTTAGGGTTTCTTTTGGATGTCGTTTTTGGCTTCTTTGGGATGTCATTTAGGGTCTCTTTAAGGTTTCATTAAGGGTTTCTTTAGGGTTTCATTTAGGGTTTCTTTAGGGTGTCGTTTTTGGCTTCTTTGGGATGTCATTTAGGGTCTCTTTAAGGTTTCATTTAGGGTTTCTTTAGGGTTTCTTTAGGGTTTAATTTAGGGTTTCTTTAGGGTTTCATTTAGGGTTTCTTTAAGGTTTCTTTTAGGGTTTCATTTAGGGTTTCTTTAGGGTGTCACTTCGGTTTTCTTTTAGGGTTTCATTTCGGGTGTCGTTTACGGTTTCTTTAGGGTTTCTTTTAAGGTTTATTTGAAGGTTTCTTTAGGGTGTTGTTTAGGGTTTCTTTAGGTTTTCTTATTGATGGTTTCGCTATTTTCTTACAACAGCATGCATACAAGCTCCTATACTCTATGTCTGTAGTTTTTGTGCAGTTTACACGAAATATATATATATATATGCAATGTATTACATGAAATGTTATATGCACCCCTACAATACTAAACCCAACAGACGCCAAGAGCCAAGTGAAGTGAACGGCCAAAACAAAAGCCAAGTGAAACCAAAACCAAGAGCCAAAAGCCATGAGCCATGAGCCATAAGCCAAGTGAAGCCAAGTGAAGCCAAGTGAAGCTAAGTGAAGCCAAAGCCAAAAGCCAAAAGCCAAGTGGGCACGCAAATGGGAGATTCTAGCTCCAAAATGCATGCAAAACACAGATTTTAGCTCCAAGATGCAGCAAATAGCAAGGAAAGCTGCTCCAGGCTGAAAAAAAATAATAGTAAAACAAATATATATATATATGTATATATATATATACCCTCCTTTATAATATATATATATATATACATATATATATATATGTTTATATTATATATATATCTACCATAAAAATAAAACCGTATAGAACCTAGTTGTTGGTGTTGTGTTTGCCAACTTAGCGGTTCCGAACTGGGGCACTACCTGGTAGGAATACCCTTAAAAGCAGGGACCCCTGAAAGATTCTTAAGTTGGTTTCAAAAATGTTAGATCGATGTGGGTGAACTGGGATTATAGCAGATATATCTTTAGTTGGATAGGTTATAAGCTAGTCCACACTGGGGGGTCCATCTTGTATCCCATCCTACTATACATGCTGGTTGATAGCGAATGTTTTGTGGTTGATACCGGAACTCCTATTTGGGATGTTTGCTATGAGCCCCAAATCGTTAGCTACTGTTTATCAGTGGGTGTGTCATGGACGATGTGACTGGGTGACTGGATGCGCCTCGGCTTGGGAAGGTGACTGGAATTACCCAGCTGTTCTGAACATAGTTGTGGTCGTCCCATGTTGTCCCGTTGGCGATTTCAAATTCACATATTGACCCCTCTGGAGCCCCTTTGATGGGAAATGTTAAAAGAAAAATGCGATGACCACAGCACAGTTGGAATCGGCATCCGAACTGTCTGGCAGGTAAAGCTTGGGGTCTAAAAAAGTGGCCTGAAGGCATGTACATTCACAACTGTGACCAGCTGGCCCCAACATCTGTTTTGTTTTTACGGCTATGGGTCGGGGTCGAAATTTAGGTCAAGAAAGATGATTGGTACATATATTACATCATAATACTACTATTTGCTGGGGATCTCAAAAGGATAGAGTTGTGAAAAGTCAGGAAACCTGCTTTGTTGTACTCTCCCACCCTTCCGGGTACCCAGTCCGCCGACAACAGGCAAGTCCAGTCCGAACAGTCCGAACAGTGCGGACACCGTTCAGACTTGCCGAGCATTGCAATTGGAGTTTCACCTGGTTTACCCTCTGGTAATTTGACATAAATATGTAAAATATTGGAAAATCACTACTTTTTTAAGGTATGTCAACTTGCAGTATCAGGACGTTACCCCGTCCTATAGATTTCACAGACTGAAATCAGCTTTGGGATCGAAAGTTGTAGCCAATTGGTGGGCCCATCATTCTGCAACCCCCCGCAACAGCCGAGAGGCAACCATGCTCCATAGGCCACACAGGCCAGAAATAACCAGATCTCAGCTGTTGCAACAGAGGGTTGGTTTCTCGAAAACTGCTTGGGGAACCCTGGCAGGAATCATTTTTCTGGTAGAACCCCCTATTTTTTTTAATACATCATGCCTAACTCAATGCTAGATAGGCTATCAACGCAAGTGGATGGATAGACTGCAGTGACCGTTGTAAGCCCCATCTTACACATTTTTAGGAGGTCCTTCCGCAAGTCAGAGGACTTTAATAATTGGGTCCATGCTCAACCGGCTCAACCTGGACTCAAATCTTGAGTTTGCTGTGTCGTGTGGTTTGTTTCCCTACGAATCCAAGTAAGGTAACCCGCGAATTGGACCTTAAATAATATATGGTTCAAAATCTATGAGTCCTGGAGCGATGTAGGCCTTGCAAAGGTTACAAAGATAAGAGGGTGCGTACCACATTTGTTGTAGTGGTTGTATAGATAGCACTAGAGATAACTAGTCACTGACTAGATTAATTATGAAGCCGTATTGTCCGTGGTGTCCTTTTGGAGTTGTCAGATTGCACTTGTCAATCACTGACTCATGAATTTCAATGCTCATCTAAAAAAACATTTTATCATGTTATCCAGTAGCGGCCAAGCGTTTCAGTCCAACGGCCAATGGAGCCGACTTGACTCTGTGGTCCCTGTGCCCATGACTACAAGGTGGTGCCCAAGTTATGCTGGATCATAAACTCCAGGAATTCATATATCTACCATAAACATCCATAAACCATAGCAAACCTAGTTATAAAATGTTCCAAACCAACTTTGCTATCTAGGAGGTCCCACCTTGTAACATCACCTCTGGTTGCTTACGACCCCTCGCCTTTTTCTCACGACGGCTCAAGCGTGACTCGAACAATGCCCAGTTCAGCGTTCACATAATTTCTCGCTAAAAGCGACTGTTCGTTTCACGGTGGGATCCCATTTAAACAGCTACAATGTACGCCCAAACAACTCACCATCACTTCTGCCTCTAACATTAAGTCACATGTATTCTAGTTATACGCTATACCTTGAACATGTACTGAACCCATCGATTTTGGTTTAAATCCACATATTTCTCGTTGAAATTGCAGTGGTTCCGGTTTCGTCTCCACGGTTGCCTTCGTCTAAATAAATATGGGGTACCCGATTCCATCCACTGGTGAATCATCACGTAGCCTATGAAAATATGTTTTTTTTTTGGGTGGACGATCCCCGATCTTCATACACACATCCCACATTTAACAGAGGTCACCTGGGCTCAACGGTCAACTGGGCATTGTTTACTTGGTAAAGTCCAAAAGACCTTGGGCCACGTCTTCCACGGCCTTGGCCTCTTGGAAGATGTACCAGTCACAATCCAACGCCTGACCCGGGTTAGCGGCGGAGGATGACAAAACAGATGGCCATTTATGGCCATGAAAAATGGTGGAATGATAAGTCACCATCAAATTTGGGTACCCTACTTTGAGACAAACCGACCTGTGATGGAAACTCCTATTATTTGATAGTAATGCTATGTAATGCTACCTAGCTACAGGTCACTTGACCTTGGTATTATAGTTACCCGAAAATCGTTTGAGTTTATGAAATTTGCTGGGATCGATCAATGTTCATCTCAAAGCCAGTCCAGTTTTATGCCGAATGGCCACCAAATAACTTCCACGATGAGAACTCCCCAGGTTTGCCGGTTCAATTTCTAGGTTTTGTTTGTGTCGATGATTTAATTTCCATGTTTCATGGCTCAATATGCCTCAATCCCACTTTTTCATGCTTAAATCATCTTGAATTTCCATGTTTATTGCCAGGTAAAATCAAGTCTCTCCCCTTCAGAAACCAGGCCTGGACCTTGGAGCGACTCCTACACGCTGAGATTTGAAGCCATGAGTCCAACGACTCGGCGCTAATCTTGGTCTTCATCTTGTCGTGTCCCTCCTACGGAGGTTCCCGACCAGCCAAGGCTACGCATGTTGTACATACTGTAGGCATACCAGGACCGCACAAGGCGGCGGCAGAAGTTTCCAAGATAGGAACCTTATAGGTGAGTTGTTGTGCTTCGTGGATGGCGGGGCGAACTGGTGGACCGAAGGGTGCTTGACGCACGTTAACACCTGTTCCCTTTCCGTCCTAAACCCAAGACCCTTCGCACCCCAGCCCCGTTTTTCAACCGCGATGGACGCCGAGTGTTGGAAAAAAAAGGCTTCCCACCGATCCTTAAAAAGCCCCTCTTATGGGGCACGTGTCCCGCAAGAAAAAAAAGTACACTCGGAGGAGAACCTCACGCGTGACGCTAAGTTTAAAAACGAACACGCCCTCGCCAGGCACCCGAAGGTGACAGCGCTGCCTCAGTGGCGTAATCATCTGTTCATGCATCCACTTGAAGAATATGTCGTTGGAGTGCGAGAAAGGGGAGCTGACAGGAGAGGAGAGAAGTGCAGCTCAAGCTGGGCAAGAGAAGAGCGACGATGACAATGAAAGCGAAGATGAAGCACAGAAGAGAGAAGAGAGCAAGGAGAGTGAGGAGGAAGAAGAAATAGATGATGAGAAGAGTGCCAGTGAAGATGACGAAGGTGATGAAAGTGACGAAGACGAAGCGAAAGAAAGCGGCAAAGAAGAAGCAGGACATGTGAAGGTGAACAAGCAGCTTCCGCAAACTCTGCAAATTGCGAGTGTGAGATCCAAGGTGGCGTTGCATCCAAATGCATAGTCAAGTTGCACCTTTAATCAAACTTGGTAACAGGTTTGTTTTGCTAATGAAGGCAAAGGAGCTGGAGGGCAATGAAATTTTTTGACTGCTGTCTGTGAGGAAGCCTTTTTCTTCCCATTTTCTTTACTTTTTCCTCGCCGCTATCCCGCTGCGGGCCCCGCCTCCACCACGATCTTTGTAGTCATCGCGCCTGTCTCCGCACTCGCTGCCTTCGCGAGCCTACTTTTTGACCCTCGGAGCCACAAAAGATTGGAAATGCGAAGTGTTTCGCCGTTTTTTCTACCTTTTCGCGCGCATTGCTCTTCTTTCTACTGACTCTTTCTCTTCTGACTTTTTCTCTTCTCTGACTGCTCTAACAACTGTTGCTGCATCTGTCCATAAGTTGGAAGTGTGACTTCTAAATTTCCTTAGATGATATAGACAAATAAATATAAACATAACTCATGTATTACTCATGTAATTATATGTAATTATAAGATATTATAGACGTATTTACAGCATCATATCTAATACTTAGATAGCTGTAGATTCTAGATTCATTTCCTCTACAAACATTGCGATCATTGGTGTCGAACCAGGCAACTCATGGCAACTCAGGGGGTGTTACCATTCAATCAAGGTTCTTTTCTGTAGATTCCTTTGAACCAGTTCCATTCAGTTCCACTATGAACATCAGCTACCCGAGCTGCTCACCACCCTCACCTCTGCCAGCAAACATCATTTTGTGGGCTATCAACCACTCACCACCATACGGGGTTGGTCTGAAAATTGGCTACCCCGCAATTCTATCTGCCCCAGCAAAATGGCAGACATATTCTGAATTTTGGGACAAAACCAACTGATGTTTAAAGCACTTGACCAGGACGGGGAAACGAAGAAAAATGAAGACCTTGGCCAGTCAAAGCGATGGCGAAGGTCTTCATGGCAAGTCTGAAAACAGCTCTTAAATCATCGTTGATCCACTGGTCAATAATTCATGATCTTACCCATCAAAATATTCTCTGGTTGAATCTTTTTGGGGGTCTACCGGCCCCAGTTTCAGACACGCACACACACATCTGTGAATCCGCTTTGGAGAAAGTAGAGAGCAAAGGGTGTTGGGGGTGGCAACAATTTCCAGAACGCAGATGAATTCGCACGGCGGAGGCGGAGGATGATGTAATATGATATATATATATATACATATACAGATAATGATATATGCTGATCACAAGCCGAGCAACAGCTACAACCCAGCTGCAATTGTAGCCCCAAACTTCAGCCATCTCGAGCTGGGGAATCTGGGGAGAATGTTGTTTCCATCGCCATAAGCCATGAAAACCCTCCCCAAGTCACAAAAAAAACCTCTGCATGGACCCTGTCCTTGGTGCCGTAGAAGACCAGCACAGGGCATTTCAGTGGACCCAAGGAGGGGTCGAATTTATAGTTCTCCTCCAGCTTGCAGTCTGCGGTGATCACTGGCACGAACCTTGGGTCCACTGAAACGGAAAGAGCACCCGCACCTGGCCGGATTTCGGGAATATGTTGCAATAAACTCTGTATACCATCTTTTTTCCCGGCAAGTATCAGTGTTATATCAGTGTTTCCTCTAGATGCTCCAAAACAAATTGGGTACAGGTTGTTCCACAAAATCGATTTGAACTCTACAAAAGGTGACGTCTCCCAATCGACCCTGCCATGCTTTGCGATTCCCATTGTCGAATTTGAAGTTCATTCGATTCCCGTTCAAGGTAAATACTGCTAGACCAAATGTGGCATACTAAGACACCACTGGTGTGTTCACAAGAGGCAACCCATCAAACACGTCCATCAAAATGTGATCGTACCAGTACCACCAAGTGTGCAACCTGCGTTGGGCAACACCTCAACGTCTTGGGCCTGCCAAGGAGCATTTTCTTCATGCCAGGATCCTGCAAAATGAACTCAGTTCCCCCCTTGTCTTTCAGCATCTTTTCAAACCTGAGATTGAGAAGGTCATTCAGGTTTGCAAGCCCCAAGAAGAAGGGTTGATGGTGGTGAAAAAACTCGTGCATACCATGTATACATATCATCATGGATGGATGGATGGATGGATGGATGGATGGATGGATAGACAGACGGACGAATGGACGGACGGACGGATGGATGGATCGATAGACAGACAGACGGACGGACAGACAGACAGACAGATAGACAGACAGATAGATAGATGGATGGATAGATAGACAGATAGGCAGGCAGATAGATAGATAGATAGATAGATCGATAGATAGATCGATGGATCGATGGATGGATGGATAGATAGATAGATAGATCGATCGATCGATCCACAGATCCATAGGTGCATAGGTCCATAGGTCCATAGATAAAAAGATCGATTGATCCATAGATCCATAGATCGATAGATCGATAGATCCATATCGATAGATTGATAGATCGATAGATCGACCGACCGATCGATCGATAGATGATGAAATAGACAGGCAGATAGATAAATAAATAAATAAATAGATAGATAGATAGTCAGATAAGTAGATAGATAAATAGGTAGGTAGAGAAATAGATAGACAGACACACAGACACATAGATAGATAGATGTGCTAGAGTCATAAAGTCACAGAGAGTCATAGAGAGTCATAGCGAGTCAAAGAGATTCATAGAGACTCATATAGAGTCATATAGAGTCAAATAGAATCATATAGAGTTCTAAAGAGTCATATAGAGATAGGAAGAGATAGATAGAGATAGATAGGGATAGAAAGAAATAGATAGGGATAGATAGAGATCAGTAGAGGTAGGAAGAGGTAGATAGAAATAGATAATGATAGACAGAGATAGGTAGAGAAAGATAAAGATAGAGAGATATAGAGAGAGAGAGAGAGCCTGAGATAGTTAGACATAGATACAGATAGATAAGAGATAGATAAGAGTTGGATAGAGATGGACAGAGATAGATAGAGATAGATAGAGATAGACAGATAAAGATAGATAGAGATAGAGATAGAGATAGAGATAGAGATAGATAGATAGATAGAGATAGAGATAGAGATAGAGATAGATAGATAGATAGATAGAGAATAGATGTAGATGTAGATAGAGATAGATAGAGATAGATAGACCGAGATAGATATAGATAGAGATAGATAGAGATAGATACAGATAGATACAGATAGATAGAGATAGATAGAGATAGATAGAGATAGATACAGATAGATAGAGATAGATAGAGATAGATAGAGATAGATAGAGATAGATTGAGATAGATAGAAAAAGATAGAGATAGATAGAGATAGATAGAGATAGATACAGATAGATAGAGATAGATAGAGATAGATAGAGATAGATAAAGATAGATTGAGATAGATAGAAAAAGATAGAGATAGATAGAGATAGATAGAGATAGATACAGATAGATAGAGATAGATAGAGATAGATAGAGATAGATAAAGATAGATAAAGATAGATAGAGATAGAGATAGATAGATAGAGATAGCTAGAGATAGATAGAGATATAGATGTAGATAGAGATAGATAGAGATAGATAGAGATAGATAGAGATAGACCGAGATAGATAGAGATAGATAGAGATAGATAGAGATAGATACAGATAGATACAGATAGATAGAGATAGATAGAGATAGAGATAGATAGATAGATAGATAGATAGATAGATAGACAGATGGATAGATAGACAGATAGACAGATAGACAGATAGACAGATAGACAGATAGACAGATAGACAGATAGACAGATAGACAGATAGATAGATAGACAGATAGACAGATAGACAGATAGACAGATAGACAGACAGACAGACAGACAGATAGATAGATAGATAGATAGAGAGAGATATATATATATGGAGAGATGTAGAGATGTAGAGATGTAGAGATGTAGAGATGTAGAGATGTAGGGATAGAGATTGATAGGGACGTAGAGATTTAGAGATACAGAGATATAGAGATATAGGGATATGGAGATTTACAGATAGAGAGATATGGAGATATAGAGATATAAAGATATAGATTTGGAGACGTCGTATGTGACTATGTAGGCATATCAATATATCGTATGTATATATGTGCATATACATCTTATACATTTAATACTATTGTAATAGTATATATATATAACATTATATAACATATTATTATTATATATAGACGTGTACATCATCAGGGCATATATCATACATCATGCACTTGTCATGCACTTGTCATTTTTGATCATTGACCACCAAGCAGATCCATGTTCCACCAAGGTGAGCAGTGCACAAAATCAGCCCCATCAACTCACCATAGGTGATCCAGTTGAAAAGCCGGTGCTGAGTTGTCAACAGGTGGTATACAGTTTATGGTCATCCATCCCATACAGGGGAATTCCAACAATCGCACTGGGTATATAAATCCCTATGGCTTGATGAGGATCCCCCAAAGACTGGGTATCCAATCCAACTTGCTCACCGTGTCAGGTGTATCTCGGTTGATAAGGAAATTGTAAGTATCATATCCCCATCTTTCAAGGGAAGTTTGATATAAGCATCAAAATCCCCAGGTCTTAAGGGCTCCGGGTTCTAATATGTTTCTCATTAGTTTTGATCAGTTGACATCCCACTTAGCTAAGGTTCATAAAAACCATCAACAATCAATTGAAAAAAAAAAAAAACATAGTTCAAAAAAGAAAAACATTGTACTTACAATAGCATCAAAATGAAATCTCCCAATATCCTAACTCTTCAAGGTTTGTTACACTCAACTTTGAGAAATCATGTTTTAAGGCTCAGTTCCAACATGTTCCAACATGTTCCAATCATCAAAAGCAGCCAGGAAATTGCCGATCAAATCATGCTGACATGTCCAGCCTTACAGGTTTCCCGGCTTCCCCGGCTCAGTAGTTCATCATCCCCAGGTATATTTGGAGGGCTACCCTTTGGTAAACATACAAAAAACTATGGACAAATCACCATTTTTTCGTGGGAAAACTCACTATAAATGGCCATTGTCCATGGCTAACTCTTAAATTACCATACTCCATTTATATCCATAGAAATAGTTTTTATGTTCCCATTAAAAATGGTGGATCTTTCCATCGTTTTTTCTATGTTGACCAGGCCGGGTAGCCAGTGATTTGACCAAGGCACTGCGCCTCGTTGAGCCTTCCCAGCCCCTGGTTCCGCGGCCAGGTGGGACCCTCGGCCGACACCGCCACGACGCCCAGGGGGCCCAGCTCCAACTGCTGGAGCCGCCTACGTTTTTCGGGGAAAAAGCTGGGAAAACCTCGGGGAAAGTGGAATTCTTGGAGGAAAAACTTGGAGTATCTGGCAGAAAACCTAGAAAATGATGAGAAAATGAATGGGAGCCAAGGAGTTTTGGCCCAAACAATGTGGAGTTGTGTGTGATAGAACATGCGAGTTCACCAACAAATGCTGAGAACTCAGCCGTTGTGCGAATGAAACAGTGTAGTCCATGTCCATGGATCGTAGGAATTACTCATCGGGATGACCATCATCATGATCATAGTCATTCATCCCTCCAAATCAGACTGGGACTTCATGCCTTGCTACCTCCATCGCCAAAATGGAACCAAACGAAAAGCCTGGCGCATCGGCACCGAGGGATACGGCGAACATGTTTTACACACATTTTTCCGGGTTCTTCGATCACTCAAAAATTTGAATTCCGCGAAAATCGGATCACATTGTCACATTCTTACATGGTAATGATATAATTCTGATGTATGCAAGATTGCCGGGAGAGTCTTCGTTTTTTTTGCGGTCGGCCACGACCATGCCAAGTGTTTGGTGGGCACCGAATCCATGTACAATTGGTGTCTCCCGAATCAATCATTGCGAACCCGCCGAACACATTCATTCAGTGCTCCATGCCTCTCAACCCTCTCAACCCAAGGTTGATGGCGATGGTTGCTGATGATTTACCCTCGGATAATCAAACACAGCCAGCTCCCGCGCCTAGAAACATCACTGGCAGCCCTCCTTTCAGAGCTTCCTATCAGATCCGAAAGAAATGGGAGACCCGGAGAGGTAACTCGGTCACATCGCCCTGGAAAATGTCCCATTTATAGACCATTTATGATGATTTACCTTATTTGATCTTATTTGTAGATGATTTACTAAGGATTGCCATGATCGATGGCTATGTGAAAGTTTACTGGAGGGTACTTGGGAGTACATCCCTTTTTGATCCTTTTTGTGGGTAGGAATACGGTAGGAATCATTTTGAGCAAGTAGAGTCTCAAGTGATTGGAGAAAGCTTACAGGTGCCTCAAGTCTGAAACGGAGTCTACTGAAACCAGCTTGTCGAAGGTCGTGTCAGTGCATTTTGTGGCATGTTTACTATGATTTACCATGATTTACCATGATTTACCATGTTTATGTTGAGGAAGTTCAAGGTAAAGTTACTCCGTGCTCCGAGAAGGTCCGGATCGCCTCAAGGGCCGTGGCAATGTCCTTGACGTATGCGTCGCAATCCTTGGTGGATGGAGCATGTGGCGGAAACCCATAGCTAGGTGAACGTTTTCTGTAGACTCTTTGCCTAGGACCTCAAAAAAAAGGGCCGGAATTCAGGTAGGTGTCCTGACACATGGTAACCCCCATGATGCTGGTCAATCAGAATCTCCGCATGATTTCAAACGAAGATCTAGACCAAGGTGACCCGTGAATGGTGAATCGTGCTAACTCTCCCAGATAACGCAGTCCGCTGAGTCAGGGAATCGAGATACGGGCCATGATTGGTCGGTTTCTCCACTCATAACATCTTATGACATCCCTTAAAGCATCTTATAGGAGGATAAAATGATATAAAATCCATTATCATGAAATTCTGACGTTAATGTTTATAGATCATCTATTCATCTATCCATCTATCCATCTATCCATCTATCCTATCTTATCCCGCCCTATCTTATCCTACCCTATCTTGTCTGATCATATCTTATCTATGTACAAAATTTACATATTATAGTATAATAGAATATTAAATCATATTATATTATATTAGGTTTCATATATTATATTAAACATTATATACTATATATTATAGTATATTACATATTATATATTATGTCATATATCAAATATCATATATTATGTATCATATATAATATTATATATTATATATTATATTTAATATCATATATATTATATTATATAGTATATATTATATAGTATATATTATAGATTATATATTATATATTATATTGTATATATTATATTGTATATGTTATATATCATATGTTATATATTATATATTATATATTATATATTATGTAACATATATTATATATTATATTTTATATATTATTCATTATATATTAAATATATGTTATATATTATATATTATATATTATATATTATATATTATATATTGTATATTGTATATTATATATTACTAGTTATATATGTTATTACTTTATATTATATTCGATTATGGTATATTATAGTGTATCACATAATATTATATTATAATATATTTTATTATACATAATATTTTGTATTATATTATATCATATCATATTATATTATATTATATTACATTATATTATATTATGTGATATTATGTCAGTAAGCATCTTACGGTCATTTTCACGACCATCCCATCTAAAAAAATCTCTCCCCCACCTGGCTTGACGGCCACAGCTGCGGAGTTCAAGGGATCTTTCATCCGCCTGCCGCGGCCTGGATAGCTCACCTCAGGCGGTGTTCCAGCATTTATATGTATGTGTATATATATATATATAGATAGATAGATAGATAGACAGACAGACAGATAGATAGATAGATAGGTAATTAGATGGAAGAGAGAGAGAGAGAGATAGACCGATAGATAGATAGATAGATAGATAGACAGACAGACAGACAGATAGATAGATAGATAGATAGATATTATCTACTGAAAACACTATGTTATCTACTTGATGGTTGGGCTTTAACTGTTTTAACCATCCACCATCGTGTTTTTTTTGAGATTTCATGGTGATTTTTGATGGTTTCAAATCACTATTGATGGTGTTGTTTCCCATGTATGACTTGAATTACCTGGTAATGACTTAACAGTTTGCGAACTGGAAAATCACCATGTTTAAATTCCGCAAAAAATGTGACTAATTTGTGAAGCCAGGTCAAGGCACCTCAAATTGCTCCCAATCTTTCAACAACTCTGACCACCTGGCGCCGTGGCCAGGTCAGCGTGTCTTCATGGCAACAAAAACACGATGGATCCCCTGTCTGTTGGTTTATGATTGGGCATGGTAATTTCATCGTCTGTGGAAAATGGCCCAGTTCCCTTCGATGATTTACCGAAAAAGTCGCAAACTGAAACGAATTGCCAGAGGCTACCCTGAATCCGGTAGATTATCATCATGTGGCCCCTATTAAAACTGCTATTTGAAATTTGGCTTTGGAGGTGTGTATATATATATATATACCAATAATGTTCATACACATCCAAATTATATCAAGTTGGTTATATTTGTGCGTTCCACTCATTTCCCAAGATGATCTTTGAATCTATTCCCATATCTGATAATATCCCCATTCCTGGGGATGTGCCTAATTTTTCAACCGATACTCAGATTGTTGATCATATATCTCACAAATTCCCAATTGACCACTTTTCAATGATTATTATCCCCATTCAAAATGGATAAACATCCCTCGTTTACAATATGGGGGGGGTCCTAAAACAGGGCTAACCCCAAATCCCCCAGTTATCATCCATTTATAGATGGGATTTTCCCTGAAAACCATCCAGCGAGCTTGGGAATCCCCATTGGATTTTCCGCGCCTGCCGGGTGCTCTCTGGAAGTTGTGCGCTGAGCCTTGTCCCCCGCGATTGCCGGTCCAGGAAAAAATCACCAGACGCCTCAGCGGGAAGCGTCTGGAGTATCTCAAAAAACAAACGATTTTTGTCCAGGAAAACTTGACATGTCAGAAGCAAAAATAAGGGTGATTGAAACTATCAAGACATTGGGACTTTGATAATTTTAGATATGTTACCTTTAAAAACTGAGATTTAAAAAGTAAACAATTTCGATTTCGCCAAATGTGGATTCTGAATTCTACCATCAAAAGGTTGTATCTGATCAATAGTTGGGATTTAATTAACCAACAAAATTGGCCGTTAACAAGCAAATGGTGGGACTTGACAAAGAAAACATGGCATCGAAAAGTTGGATTTCACCAACAAACACAGCAAAACCTCTTGGGAGTCATCTTTGTACCCTGAGAAAGTCCACGAATTTTGGTACCATAGGAGTGAGATCTACCACTTGTTTAGGGACTGAATCATTTGGAATGAAAACAATCAACACAAATGGTCCACCAATTGCTCCCAGGTTTGGCTTGGTGGTTTGGACCAGGAATTCCCAACCAAACCACCGGGTGCCAAGAGGAACTGCTTCAATGGGAAATTCACCAAATTTGATGATCTTCCCGGCTGCAAAAAAAAACAAAATCGCGATGATTTTGCATAAAATCGCCAGGCTGAGGCACCCTGTGGCCTCCGGATTCGCCTTGCCTCGGCTGTGTGGGAGGTTGACTTCTGCTGGCTACTTAGAGGTCACGAAAAATGCTGAGATTTTCCAGGGCAGTCAAAACTTAAGACCCAAATAAGCGTAACTGATGGCTTTGCCCAGGAACTGGCCTTTTCAGGATGTTCAACAGACCCCTGTTCAGTCCCAACTGGGCTCAGCGAGCCCAAGCGCGTCAACCAAGGTGTAGTGCCAGTGGCCGCAGTGCCCTGAACATCAACGGAGATGCTGCTGAAGATCACCGTTGAACCATGAATATCTTACCTTGAACTGGTTTAACTATGAAAAAGTTTGGATAGTTAGTCAATGGATTGGTTGAAGAGGAAACATTAGCCGGAAACCATGGTGTTTACACAGATAATAGATAGTTCCTGTAAATTCTCACATCATCCAATTCTGGGATAAATCTAAAAGGGTTCAACAGGATCTAAGACGAACCCCATGGAGGAAAATGATACCCCCAGTGTCATAGTTTCCTACTCAAGTTTCCTAGTGGAATGGCCTCTGGCTCAACTGGTAGCTTTCTTGGGAAGTCTTGGCGTGCCTCACACATCAGTCCTTGTTGAAGCCAACCAGCATGTGCTCTACTCACTAGGATGAATTGTCCGAAGAGGTTGAAAATCTGACAGCTTCAAAGCCCCCGGTAACTTTGGCTTGTGAACCAAATGGTTTTGAAGGGGACCAGTGCAAGTACTAAGGTAAACCAAATATGGGGATAGATAGGGTATATACTTTTTGGAGGGATTTGCATCTGAAAGTGTGCAAGGAAACATCCCTGGCAAAATCACCAGTGAAGCCCCAAAATCCCCAAAGTTGGACCTTCTTCATGGAAGGATAGCCATCTTCCAATTGCTCAAAGTCAGGCAGCACGACCTGGCACACGGCCAGGATTTTTGTTTTTTGGTTCCAAGCTTCCAAAAAAAGGTTCCAAGAAAAATGTGAGAAAAAGGGTTCGAAATGGGGACGTGATCCACCAAAATGGACCTTAGGACCTAGAATTCGTGGCCGCCATGGTCTTAAAAGCTCAAGGCAAGGCACAGCATGTTCGCTACGGATTCATGTTGGTGATATCCCCGTGTGTGTTGTTTACACCCTATCGGAATCAAACCTTTCATGGTTTCCTCCTTTTTAAACCTCCTTTCCTGCAGCTTTTTGAGGAAGTCCAAAGCCCTTTGGCTTGCGATCTTTGCAAACCAACTGCTGGAAATGATGGACAGATGTTCCGCGCAGTCCCGTCCATTGTTGATGCAAATCCTCGGTCACATTAATAAATCTGTGGCTGATCCATCTGTTTTATCCATACTGAAAATTGGTGATTTGTTATGGGGGACACCAAAATCATTTGAATCATCCAAATTGTTGGTCGTGTTTATTGAGGAAACCAATTCTTGAAAGTTACATATATATATATACACACATAGAGCCAGCAATCATCTACTTTTACTGCCGGAGAGCAAATTCAACAACCTCCTCATCCTTAACAGTTCGGTCACCAAGTCTCGAAGATGCGCGAATGTTTAGGTGCCCTTCATTGCTTCCTGGCAGGCTGATACCAGCCACCAGCCACTAGCCAAACTTGATCTCACCATATTTGTCGTGCAACATCCTAATTAGGTTTGCTTAAATTTCCCATGTTTGCATCTCCAAAGTCATGGAGATATTTTGATACTCAAAATCATGCACCCTCAACAAATTGCTACAAAGAATTACCGATTCCAGTGGGCCCATTGGTCCCCTACTTTTTAAGCCAAACCCACGTCAGAAACCAAACCCTTCCACTTGCGTCATCTGTGATCAATCCGAAACCTAGGACAGCATTTTTCTCAAATGTTGCAGTCACTCTCAGATCATCATGATGTTATGTCAGTGGTCTTATTTCCATTCTATTCCCATGGCCCCATGGTATCCTCAGAACTGTCCCAGTTTTGGGCGCCTCCACCCACGTCCCACCATGGGATCAGCATGGCGTCGCGGCACTGCTGCTGCGTGGGGCCGTCGTAGCGCTTCAGCCAGTGGCGACCGCGGTCCGCCGAGGAAAACCAGAGGCGCGGCCAGAAGTAGGGCTCAGCGAGGCGACGAAAGTCGGCAGGCGAATAGTCGGGCACCTGCAGTGCAAATGACCAGGTCTATATATATATATATTATTTATTTATTTATTTATATATATTATATATATATATATTATTTATATATATATACATTTATATCAGGAGATTGTTCATGGATCTATAGTGTTTTATTGATGGGTTTAGAAACCAAATTGGTTTATGATGGATATGGTGACCCTCAGGAAAGGTTTAGATGATCTGTTAGGATTGGATTTTACTTTCCTGCATCTTTTTCGGGTGTTTTTTTTAAAATATATCTGCAGTTCCTCGTAGATGGGTTTATAAGCCGAATATGACACTTGCTGAGCCGCAATAGTCATTGGATTGGCGCTGCTGGCATTTTTTACTGTTGAATTCCCCGTATTCCCATATTTCATGGGAATGACCATGTTTTATTACAGATTATTCCTCAAATCATCTAAATGATGTAAGCAGAACTGTGGTAAGAGGTCATATGTCAATAAGTAAGACGGGTAAATCCCACTTGCAGATTTGGTGTATCAGATGTACTTGTTCATACTATTGTATGTATGTAATGTAATGTTATGTAATGTAAAATAACGTTACGTAATCTAGTGTAATGTTATGTAATGATATGTAATGGTATGTAATGTAATGTTATGTAATGTAATGTTATGTAATGGTATGTAATGTAATGTTATGTTATGTTATGTTATGTAATGGTATGTTATGTAATGTGATGTCATGTAATGTTATGTAATGTAATGTTATGTAATGTAATGTTATGCATTGTAATGTAATGTTATGTAATGCAATGTTATGTTATGCTATGTATGTTATGTAATGTAATGTCATGTAATGCAACGTTATGTTATGTTATGTCATGCAATGCAATGTTATGTAATGTCATGTAATGTAATGCAATGTTATGTTATGTAATGTAATGCCATGTTATGTAATGTAATGTTATGTAATGTAATGTTATGTAATGTAATGTAATGTAATGTTATGTAATGTAATGCAATGTAACGTAATGTAATGTAATGGTATGTTGTGTAATGTGATGTTATGTAATGTAATGTAATGTAATGTTATGTAATGTTATGCATTGTAATGTAATTTTATGTAATGCAATGTTATGTTATGTTACGTTATGTATGTAATGTAATGTCATGTAATGCAATGTAATGTAATGTAATGTCATGTAATGCAATGATATGTAATGTTATGTAATGTAATGTAATGCAATGTTATGTTATGTTACGTTGTGTAATGCAATGTTATGTAATGTAATGTAATGTAATGCTATGTAATGTAATGTCATGTAATGCAATGTTATGTAATGTAATGTAATGTAATGTAATGCCATGTAATGTAATGTCATGTAATGCAATGTTATGTAATGTAATGTAATGCTATGTAATGTAATGTCATGTAATGCAATGTTATGTAATGTAATGTAATGTTATGTCATGTTATGTAATGTAATGTCATGTAATGTAATGTCATGTAATGCAATGTTATGTAATGTAATGTTATGCATTGTAATGTAATGTCATGTAATGCAATGTTATGTAATGTAATGTAATGTCATGTAATGCAACGTTATGTAATGTAATGTCATGTAATGCAATGTTATGTAATGTAATGTAATGTAATGCTATGTAATGTAATGTCATGTAATGCAATGTTATGTAATGTAATGTAATGTAATGTTATGTCATGTTATGTAATGTAATGTTATGTATACATACACACAAGTCAGAAGGGCCATTCGGACGGTGGCAGGGGCATTTAGTGGAGGTTATGGACCATTGAGGTTTGACCAATCACTGGGTTTTATCCCATTTAGAACTGGGATAAAGACCATACAAACCAGGCTTTACCAATTCACATTATAAATTGGGTTCCTCAGCATGTATCATGACGCATATTATATATATATATATATGGATGAAGTAAACATGTATTCAAGAAAATGATCCGCGGAATTTCAATTCATAGGGCTGGCAACTAAGAGTGGCAAGGGGAAAAAAAACAAAGATCCCAGCTCATAAGCAGAATGACTAGACTCCAGTTGTGAGGCTGTGCCTGGTTTCTGACTGGAATGCACGGGACCACAGATGACTTCACAAAAAACACCGCCTGGAAGGGAGACCTCTGGCAACTTCGGGTGGGACTGAGACAACAGTGATCCGCTGCATCTACGAATGGCGCCGTGATGCATGGAGAAGAGCCATAGAACCACAAGGCCATGGCCCCTATGCTCGATACACAATTATCATTTAGACAATGCACATATCATGTACATATCATTTACATATCATGTAGACAATAAATACAGATTGTACATATCATTTACAGAGCTGAACTATGTACAGAAGATCTATCCCACTCCGTTACCCTACAGGTCACCCACCGCAGACGCACCTGCGCCTCTGGTAGCATCGCACTCAGCAGGGTATCGCCAAAGAGGGCGACCACCAGACGGATCATCCCAGTCAGCATCGAAAACAGCGGAAACACCGTGAAGCCCATCACTGCATCGGCAGAAGACAAGCTATCGCACATATTGCAGCCTGGCTGGGAGATTCATCCCGGGGAAAAAGTGATCACAAGAAAACCCAAAGCATATAAGGATATAACATGATATACCCGAACCATATAAGTCATATAAGGATATAACTACAAAAGGCTCTTTATCCATGAGGATGGATCAAGAACGGAAATCCCAAGTCCCAAGGTTGTCAGGATCTTAGGGATCTTAAAATATCCATCACTGGTGGTGATAATTTTGACTCATCCCCTCCCAGCAAAAAAAGAATATGCACCGCAAAAAGTAACATAGACCCTTCTATACAATGACTTAAAATTTAGGGGTTGGAAGACTACCTTCCTCTTGGCATGGATGCTAAATCACCAGCACCAGTCTTGGCTCATGAAGTCCCCATGCTTGCAGGTAAATCCAATTGTTGCGCGTGAATTCCTTGTTGGGGAAATCCCCCAATGGAGAAAAATAAGAGAAAAACTACACAGGGGTTAATAAATGTCCTGTTTGGGGGATTTTGAATATCTCTCCCCATAGTTGGGTGATGTTCAATTTAGGACATGACCAACCCCTGCTACAGGTGGTTCAAAAAAAAAAATGGTCGCCTGTCTGGCCACACCAGCTGCCATCAAATCCGAGCACCAGCAGGTTCGGGTAGAGTTCCCCATAGTCCACTTTGAAGCTGCAGGCCGTGAGGTGTCCACGGCTGTGTCCTCTCATGATGTCTTTCTGGGATGCAATTTACTACCATGTACCTGGTTGTGGAAATATCATATAGGGTTCTTACGCCTCTATATTTATGAAAACCAATCCCAAGTTTTACCTGCACGTTGATAAGCTCCCCCTGGTTTGCTGTTTTTCTTCGGTCCTCCCACCACAAGCTGCCAGCTGGTTGACCCTGGAAGCTGGCCGTAGCGCCTGAGCTCGCTGCTCAGCACCGAAAGCATGGCCCAGGCATCCTGTTTGAAGCCCATATGGCCCGCCAACTTTTCCTGACCTCCGGCGAAGGCTGTGGACTCTGTGGACAAATGGGATCCAGGAATCCACAAAGTTGATTGGATCCATTGGACAAAACTACATGTTTGGTTCTCCATGTTTTAGCCCAGCCACTTAAGCCCATGCCCATGGGGTCATAGATGCAAACACGCGTGGCTCTTGCCATTGCCTCTTGTACCAAGAGCAACGTGCCTGCAGATGCCATGAACCTTGGAGTTTCAGGATGAAACTCATGATTTCCATGATAAAATGGGCCCAGAACTGGAGATCCCAAGTTGACCTACCATGAGGATCTCTCTCTCTCTCTCTCTTCCTCTGTAGATATGTCTACATGCATATTTATGCTATAATATAATATTATATATATATATCGAATAAATTTCATAATCATGCACAATTCCCCTTTTTGCAGATTCCTATCCATCATATCCGCTGTTTCTTGTTGTTTCGTCTACATGTCCTCAGCTTTTCTACCCCCCACCAGAGGAAGCACAAACCTCGACCAAAGAACCCAGGTTCCAAAACCACGATGGAGGAATTGGGCTCGCCCAAACCTCCAGCTGGTGCCACTCTTCAGAGTGGAGCTGCTGAATATTTTCCAGGTATGAAATGCCAAAAATTCTCGGGATAAACGCGTGAAAAATGTGAAAATATGTCAAGTCCAACTTGTTCTTTCTTTTCGGAAGAGTAGTACAATGTGGTATACATCCTAGGAGTTTCCTACAACTTCAAAGTAGTCGTGGTGAGCTGTTTTTGCCCATGCTCCAGTTGTCAAACGTTCCAGCAGCCTAATCAGTGCCATCCTGAAGTTGCCAAATTATAGTAGGTGCCCCGCACAAAAAAAGGTCTTGGCTTAAAATATAGCCGATTTCCCGCAAACAAAACACTGATTATGTACCAACCTACCATTTGCCAAAGGTTTCGAAAAAAAATGCCTGCCACCGGTGGATTCTGCATGGTCTCTGATGATCTTGGCTGATGATCTTAGCTGAACTTCGTGCCCAGGAACACCAGTAGGCGATGGAAGGCTCGGAATCACTCCAGCTTGGAACGGGGCTGGAGGCATAGATGAAGCATCCAATAATTTGGGATAGGAATGAGATGCACAACAGGATGGCCATTGAAACACCACAAAAATTGCATGCACACGAGACTTTGCTGGAACTCGTGCAGCAACTTTTGTGGCTGCTTGCATCTTCTTCGGTGTCCGTGTCGTGTCCTAAGCGTTCATGGTGCACAACGAACCAGCTTTGGCAACGGTCGCAGGGCGCAAAGAGCATCTGTAGCATCACGATGCAGAAGAAGATGAAGCTGAAGATCACGTCTGATCCTGCAACATGATGTCAATTTGGGTATGTCAAGAAAAAATAAGAAATCGGCTGCCAAGGGACCCACATGATGTGTGTGTGTGTGTTCCCCATTTCCACATGTTTGAATTCGCAGCCTACCTATAGCTTCGTTTTCGGCCTCCTTTTGGTGCCACTCCCGGAAAGCTTGGAATTCCAAGTTGACCATGCGTTTCTGGTCGCTCTCTCCCCAAACATTGAAGCAAATGTTAAAAATGGCTCCTTCATCAGCCTCCATTTTTTGGGAGATTTCAGAAGTTGAAGCAGCCAACAAAATTAAAGTGCCCAATTGGTGTTTCTGAAGTTTCCAGGTAGACCCTTCCAGTGCTTCCGATCGCCTCAGATCTTGAGTCCCACCCTGCCATCCCCACTTATGGTTGTTGATGGAATCACTTCGTGGATTGTGAATTAAAGTATCAAATCCCAATATAATCCCTTATCTTCCAAGTTATTGCCCAATCTTAAGTTCACAGTCAGTTAAAAAGTTATGAAACGGTAGAAATATTCAAAGAAAGTAGCAAATGAGATGATAATAGTATTGGATAGACTATATCAACATTATAAGTCCCACAACATGCATATTATATCGTATCTGTGTATGTATCTATGTATGTATGTATGTATGTATGTATGTATGTATGTATGTATGTATGTATGTATGTATGTATGTATGTATGTATGTATGTATGTATGTATGTATGTATGTATGTATGTATGTATGTATGTATGTATGTATGTATGTATGTTGTATGTATGTTGTATGTATGTATGTATGTATGTATGTATGTATGTATGTATGTATGTATGTATGTATGTATGTATGTATGTATGTATGTATGTATGTATGTATGTATGTATGTATGTATGTATGTATGTATGTATGTATGTATGTATGTATATGCCGTATATGCCGTATATGCGCATAAAATTAACCCCCCGAAAAATAGCCCTTCATCACCCGGACGTTGCCGCAGGTGCCGAGCATCGGAGGTCTCCATTCGCAAGGCCCCTGCTTTGCAGGACCAGAGCAGCCAGCAACGTTCCCAGAGCCAGGAAAGCGAAGCAGAGCCGCAGGTAACGCCAGTGCCTGCCACTTCCGGGGGCCCTCGGCCGGCCCAAGGTGTCAAACATCTCACCATGTTTTCCGACAAACAAAATTGGAAAGTTGGGCTTTTTGATGTGGATTGGTTCAGCTGGATTTGGGGTTGGATGAGGATGTGTTGAATTATGAGATATATATATAATATGACATATACGGATATAATATGATATTTTGTGATCTATTATGATATTATGATGTATTATGATATATATATATATGATAATCATGATATATTATGATATGATGATGATATAATTATGATATATTGTGATATATTAGTGTAGCGATTGTTTTACACTAGGATTTACTGCAGGGTGCCCCAAAATATGGAAAATTTGTTCCCTTACAAGTAGGGGGAACCAAAACCCCCAAGATTTATGAACAGCGATAGGCTATCTAGATATATATATATATATACATATATATATCTTCGAATAGAAGCTGGGGTCGTCTACTTTAAAGAAACATTTCCCGTTTGTTCACATCCATCTTCCATGTCGCCCATGGCGCCTGGTGCTGCGACCAATAAACCTGGTGGAGCTTCCCAAGAGTTTCAGACAAAACCATGTATCCCTCTATGATTCAACCAGGTGGAGAAGGTAAGGACATCCTACACTTGCTGACCCCTACTAACCCTACTACCCCACCCCTTGCCCCTGTGTTTACCGACTGGAGTTGATTCTGCTGAAACGGAATCCCATTTCGAAAACGCAGCGCAGTCCATCATTTCTTCCGGTACATGCAAACTTGTTTGGGGGAGACATGTAAACGTAGGCTACGCCACGAAAAGTTTCCACCAGGTAGTTTCTTGTCAGAAAAGACTTAAGATGGGCTGTAGCTGGGCTAGCTGCTAGCTTAGCGGCTAGCCCACTTGGCCAAGAATTCTAGGATGGTGATCCAAAATTTGCAAACTACAAACCCAAAGGCCCTTGGCTGGGACTTTCACTGCATCCCAAAAAAATGGAAGCCAGGACATGTTTCAAACAACCTACCAGCTTGGTGCATTCGTTGTTCTCACCTTCAGCGGGCCCTGGGAAGGAATCACCAAGAAGCAGAGTTTCGACGAAGCAAAGGATCAACCTGAGGGCAGATTGGAACAATGACCATTCAACACCAATCCTGGGGCCGTTTCATGAATTTCAATGGAGTCTTTCTTGTAAATAGAAGCCTCCTTCCAACCTTCCCAATACTACCATTCGTAACCCCCAAAAAGCCAAGCGGCCAGGAGACGCTGGCCTCCAGGAACCACAGGGCGAAAAAAATCACCACCAAGATGGTCAGCCAGACCTTTGGCGGCGCCCTTGATAGACCCCATTAAGCATGGACAAACCTGCCATAAATCATAGTTGACCTAGCTATAAAATCATAGATATATCTGCCATAAAAAATCATAGACCCCAACTAGAACCAACCTTTGGCACCTTTGCCGCACCCCATTTGCCGCGCCACGCGCTTGTCCCTCATCAGACACGGCTGCAGCCTCTCTCGCCACGTCTTCCACGTCTTCCACGTCTTCCACCGGCTGCGGCGGGTCGGAGACGCCGATGCGGAGTCCGCCGATGCGGAGTCCATGTCCAGCCCGGCGCCAACGGTCGCCGTCTCGAGCTGTGCCATTGGTGAAATCTATGCATTCTTGTTGGCAGTAGATTGAAGAGTGGGGAAATGTGGAGTGTACTTAGTCTCATCTGGGTTTTGACAGATTAAAAAAACTGCTGATCGATTTAGTCTTTAAGCATTAACAGTGGGGGGTTCAACTGATGTCAGCAAGAAAGTTCCGAGTCATGATGGGAGTCTAAGCATCACACGTATGGGTCAACCATTGTTCAACCATGTTGTGCGGTGTAATGGTACCGGTAATGAGCCAGTGGCAAGTGATGGGGTGCGGGTTTAATCCAGGGTTCCCAGCCCGGTAAAGATCAGGAAAATGTATGAAAATATCTGTTTTCCAGACATGTTTGCAGTGCAGGACATGGCTAATTTTCAGCAGAAGCGCTGCGGGAGCTGGGTCAAGATCCTCATGGAAATCATGGTCCCAAACTCGCCTATTTTTTTGGGACAGACCACCCATGTCTGGTGGGGATATTTTACTTTGGGTTTACCCTGGTTCAATGACCCAGTGGATGCTTTGACGATGCTGAGAGGTTGAATCCATAGGTGGCGATGCTTTATCTATCCATATGCTATAATATGTATTAATATGTATGTATATATATATGTGTTATATATGTATATATACAGATCAATCCTTCTGGGACTTGGTGTCGCCACTTCGGACATATTCACCGTCAGGCCTCCTCCACTGGTGCTTGGGCAGGTTTCAGCAGTTCCTTGCCGCTGATCTTGACGCTCACCTGTTACGGGGGGCCATCATTTTTACACATCGGCCCCTGTAAAAATGGTCCAGATCAGCTTAAAGTGTTTCATTCTAGGCATTTTTTTTGGGCAACATTATATATATATATGTATATATATTTCTGAGAAGGGTATGTTCCCAATGCTTCCCAAGTCCCCAATTCCCAGCAGAGTCAAAAGAAACATTGGAAAATTCCCAACATAGCCAAACACGAGTTGTTTTTGATACTCCGAGTAACTGATAAAGAGGGAAATATCCCATTTGAATCCTCCAAATTATAATTAATAGTGTTCCCCCGTTTTGTTCAAACCTCCAAAGTAAACACGCCAGCAAAAACTGTCCAAACAACGGGAACGTCCTAAAACTCAAGGTCTTGTAGCTGGAAAAAAAAAAAACGGGAACATTTGGCAGTGTGTCAAAACCTTGTACCCCTGGTGAACATCAAAATAGCTGGTAAATGGATGTTCATCCCATTAAAAATGGTATTAATAGGTATTGATCCATACCCATTTCGCCAACCAAAACGCCGGCTCCCCAACGCGTAAAGAGGCAGGCCACCCAGCCACTCTGTGGTCCGAGGCCATCGACCAACTCGTGGCCTGAGATCCACCGGGAGGACCAAACCTTTTTTTAACCTCAACAAAAAGGGAGTCCTGGCATGGGAAAATTCAGGGAAAAAATGATGTTGATATGTTTACCATGATGTCCACTTATTGCTTGAATACCTAGCCTGTTGCTTGGAAAAAAAAATCAAGAGTGTCCCATTTCATCATCAACAAAGAAAAGTTCTATGGCAATTCCCATATTATGAGGATGGGTCAAAACCTACGATACCAGATGATACCAGATTTGTGGGGTGGACATCCATAAAGAACAGCTATCTTGATGTTGGGCCAAGGTTTGGATCCATCGCCACATCCAAACAGAATCCATCTCCCAAAAATGGCTGTGGATCAAAAGCCTGGTACCTTGGTGAACAGCAGAATACTTGCCATTCCCAAAAAAATAGAGGGCGGCACCCCGTGGGGGAGTGATTTTTCATTAAAAATGATGATAAAACACTGTAAATACCGATGTTTTATGCATTTGGAGGGTCTAAAACCGTAGTAAAACACACTTTTTTCATCATGATCTTGACATGAGATATACAAAAACATTGACAGGCACCAAACAAACCAAAAAAAACAAACCACTAGATGCACCAAACATCGACAGGCACCAAAAAAATCAAAAAAAACAAAAATTCCAGCAACTACTCAGAAGTGGACCCATAGTTCCTGGAAATTTTAGTTTTTTTGGTTTTTTTGGTGCCTGTGCAGGTTTGGTGCATCTAGTGGTTTGGTTTTTTTGGTTTTTTTGGTGCCTGTGCAGGTTTGGTGACTAGTGGTTTGGTTTTTTTGGTTTTTTTGGTGCCTGTGCAGGTTTGGTGACTCTGACTTCACAAAACATTGACAGGCACCAAAAAAAACAAAAAAAACAAACCACTAGATGCACCAAACATCGACAGGCACCAAAAAAAACAAAAAAAACAAACAATCCAGCAACTACTCAGAAGTGGACCCATAGTTCCTGGAAATTTTAGTTTTTTTGGTTTTTTTGGTGCCTGTGCAGGTTTGGTGCATCTAGTGGTTTGTTTTTTTTGTATTTTTTGGTGCCTGTGCAGGTTTGGTGTCTGTGCAGGTGCTGGTGAGGTGTATGTTTGGATCTTGGCCATATTTTAAACTTATGTTTCTACCGTTATCTTTGTAGCTATGCCACCACACAGGTTGCCTGACTTAATATTCAACAGCTTGACAAATTTCTTTGTCTCTTAAACTATTGAAATGAGACTGCTGACAAGACTCTGCAAGATAACAATGATAAACGAGATATGTACCTACTTCTTGAATTGTAACATTCCCACCATCCTTCTTATCCAGAGTGTTAGATGTGCTTGTGTTATATCCACCTATATACTGTATGCCCTTCCCACCATACTTCTTATGTAGCGCAAATGCTTCTATATACAATATATATATGTTAAGATGATATCAATCTAACAAGTTCATGAAGAAACACCTATATCTTATCAATTGCTTTTAGCAATAGAATTTCTCCATCACCTCCATCACACTAGTCACCTATTGCTACTGTATATTCTGTTCCAAGATGTGCAGCTACCCATTCTTATGGCATGTTGTGCAGCAGATGTTTTCTGTTATGTGCTGATTGTTTGTAGTTCTTTGCAAGCCTCACAGGAAAAATTGAATCCTGCCACAAGAGTCTGTAAATGCCAGTGATTTATGACAGCATATGAGAGCCTTTGGAGGTGAACTCTATTTTTTGCTCTAAAATAACGGTTTTAAGCCCACTTTGGTCACAAAACACTGTAAATACCAGTATTTTTGACCATTTTTAGAGCAAAAATCACTCCCCCATGAGGGGCCGTTCTGAAAAAATATGGGGCATCATAATGTGTATATATATATGTATATGTATATATATATATAGTAGGTTTTGGCCCATCTCCATATCCATATATGAACTTCTGCTTTCCCATGGTTTTCCCATCATTTTCCCATCCCGCTTGGGGGTCTCCGCCCTTGAACCAGGAACGCAGCCGCTCGCCCAGCAGTTGCAGCTCCTTCACCCGAGCGCCCATGGAGAGGCGCTCCTCGCAAGCCTAGACTGACGATTTTTCATGAGATTTCACCAGGATGGGATGATTCATGGTATATTAATGGTAGAATAATAATCATCCCAGTAGTATACCAATATATCAACAATAATAATAATACAATAATAATAATAATAGTAATAGTATAATAATAAGAAGAAGAACAATAATAATAATCATAATAATAACAAACATAAGATGACTTTTAATAATGATAATGGTATAATACTGGGATGATGATTGTGACTAATGATAGTAATAACAGCTAATCATGGGATGATAATCCTTGTGCAATAATGATGTAACAATGGAATAATCTCTGAATAATCATGATTCATGTGGTAATGATGCGATAATCATGGGATAATAAAGGGATTAGTTAGTTAGAGTCCAACATGATTTACCCTCTAACTGACATAGCTACGGTATCACCCATATACATACTTTGCTTGATGTACCTATTAAGATGGGGGTGTTCCATAGCTATGCTAAGTTTACCAGAGGCTACTGTTCAAAACCATGGGTTTCCTGTTATGTGTTGTTTCTCTTCGACCAATCTCTGGGTCTTACTGCTGTTGGGCTGCAAAGCTGAACCCATAAAAAATTAAGTTGCTCGTCAACAATATGCTCATGAAAAATAACATAATGTTGGTGGCTTCAATGCCAATAATGTATATATATATATATATACATGTGCTCGGTATATCTGTATATTCTACAGCGCCAACCAGGTTATGTCTAAAAATATATGGATGTCATACAGATCAATTCTTGATTTGGTGCCAATCATATCAAACTTGCAGATGTTATCTGGTATATATGTTATCTATATATATATACCAAATTATATCAACATCATTTACCCGCCAGACAAGAAATCTGCTGAAAAGTCCTGATCGTTCGGATGTGTGGATGCTTTCCCAGACGATTCAAGCCACTTCCAAGGGATCACTGGGCGGTTTTCTGATTTCCAGGATCAAATGATGTGGTTGCTACCCGCTTAGACAATGGATAAGTTCAATTCAGAAACTTCGATTCGCCATAGAAAGCCATAGTAAACTCCAGAAATCCCGTGCCTTGAAAACCTTGGCATCGTGGTAGAGTCAGGGGTAGCAATTTCAATAAAAACCTTTACCATAGCACAAACTATGACACCATGAGACAACATCATCCACCGTAACCCGGAAATTTTGGTGGCTGGAATATAAATCAAACGCCCCATTTAGATCCATCAGCATTCCTTTCCCAATTTGTGAGTTCTCGCAAGCACAGCATGGCACCCACAAAAGGATCGCCTTGGACGACAGCGCTTGACCTTCTCGCACCAAAATGCCGCCCTTATCAGCACCTCCAATGACCTCCGGGCAATTTCCTGGATCATCTCAAGAGGATCAACATGACATCTACTTCTATAGATGTATATATATATACATAAAGATATATATATATACATATGTATATCTATATATATACAACTACATATATATATAATTTCATACATATCTACCTACATATATTATCATATCTTCATATGGATGTGTCTGAAAATGGTGTGTTGCTATGCAAAAATGATGCTTCCCCATCGGCTCGCCTCCCAGATCATGGCGGCTGCAGCTAGGCGGTCCAAAACACGCGAGAAATGAACCAACTGTGCCAACTGTAAATAACAAATATCATAGTAATGATTGAAAGGTAAGTTTTATAAGTTGTTCTCTAACTTTTTTTGATGATGACATGTGACTAGTATATATGTGTTTTTATAGCATATGTTTCAAAGAAGCCATGATGTTCGCGGTTCTATGATCATGTCCGTCGTACGGTTTTTGGTGTCAAAAACTGGATTCGAGGCGCACCCATCCCTTTATGCTTGAGGATGTTTTTCAAGGAGTACCAGAGCCTCATTGGTTCACAATGGTTCAACTACATCCACTATGTTTCTATAGTGCCAAGAATCACCAAAATCTGCGGGTCCCTCTCCCAACTATGACTCATTTCCCGTCTGGTGAAAAGCTTCAAAACTTTGGTCCAAAAGCTGCCGCTTCAAGTTCTTCACAGCTGGTGGACGCAAAGTTAAAAAGGGTAGTGTGCCGTCCAGCTAAGGATCTTAGGCTCAGCTTCCCTAAGTTCCCAAGGGTTGAAAAGAGCGAGAAGGGAGCATTCGATTCTCATTTCACTGCGAACTCGGAAGTTGCAAATCCGTGCAACTTTGTTTCCAAGACTTCACTATGTTGAGAGACTAGAACAATGTTTGTGAGCCAGAGACTTCAGAAATCAGAGTGAGACTATCATCAAATGTTTGTTGAGGATTCCATGCTCAAACCCGGGATGTGCAAAGTGAAAATCTCATTAAACATAGTAAAAGCGTTAGTAAAACCGACTTTTCTCCAAGCGCTTCCATCGTTTTTCAGCCTCGTAAGGAGCCCACCCCCCTGTTAAAGCATGGATTATAGGTGGTGTTTAATAGGGGAAGGGGATTAGGCTTGGAAAATCAGAAGGTGATTTTAACCACCTAATTAATCAGAAAGAAATGTAGCTTGCAATGGGTCCTGCGCGAGATCAACAAGATTTTGAGCCAGCTCAGAGAACACACTTCATCTCACTCAGATGGCCTCCCAACCACCAGAAGATGGAAACAAAATCTATGGCATGCCATAAAACAAGATTCTGTTCATTTATGCGGGGCCATTTCCTATTGTAAATAACCATGGCCATTGAGCGGCTCAGGCTGCGACCATGTTCTTTGCTCGGGATGGTGCCATGGCTGGGATTGGAGATCTTCGACAAGCTACTGAAGTAGGGAGCTGGTTGGCTCCACCAGCAGCTGGTTGTTTCTCTCTGGGAAAAGTCATTCCTGGGAAAAGTCATATGTTTCAATGTGATTTTGTGATTTTCACATGATTTCATGTGATATTTATTAATATGGTTCTTGAAGTCACCATCTTGTTGCTCTGCCTTGTGGGCATCGTCCCAAGCCGAGCTGCTTGCGTCACCCGGGAGGTGGGGATAGCCCCAATGGCAACTTTTTTTTGTGGAAGATGATCACAGACCACTCAAAATTTGGGGCACCCTATCTTCAGACCAACCCACATTGCTCATTTTAGATTGGGCGCCCAGAAAAGATGTAGGGGAGATTCCATGGCAAGAAATGACCCCATCTTTCACTTTCACTTGGCTTTGCCAGAGCCATCTTCATAGGTCACTTCATGACCTCTAGCATGTACCTTCATATAACCCCCAAAAAACTGAGGAGATCATATATCTTCGGAGACAAAGTCGACCAAGTTTTACGGAATCCATCATTCTCTCCACGAATTTGAATACACAAATTCTAATTCCGAGCTATTCCTGAGTTTTACCATCTTTTCTGAGCTATTTCATGGAAATATATATGGAATTCACCAAACTCTGCCTATCAAAACATGGTGAGAGTCCAACAGGCAGGTCCTGTGGAGAGTCCAACAAAGTGGCGATCCGCAGCATACCCTGCGGACTGGAGGGATATGAGGGATATGTTATTTGTTTCATTGTTTCATATCCTGGAAAAAAACTTATCTTTAAGAAATATAATATAATATAATATAATATATATATATAATGTAGATGTATCGATGTATGGATATGTCCTACATGGGTGTAACATCTCTTCAATGACAGGACCCCACTGAGCGCCCCCATCCGCTGTGGATCCAGTGGTTCTGTTAATACTCTTCTATTACTGTTGGAGCCTGGTTAAACCAGACATGAATCTGGGGTTTTCAACCCTGCCAAGAGTTGGGGGAGAGCAATGATTTCCACTGGCGATGTTCAGGTTTGAACTCGTAAAATGAAATGGAGAGCACATCCTAATATTATTCATATATCATATATACCAATTCTTACGAAGATACTATATAACAATAGCTGCTGAAACCATAAATCCATAGGACTGAAACGATATTTCTTGGGATTTACACCAACTATAACCACTAGTGGTTGATAGTTGTCTCCCCACCCCCCGCCTGCACGAGCACTTCCATCGAGGCATGGTCCAAATCTAAGCCCAGCACTGAAGCCTCAAACGGCTGGCCCCAAGACCATCAGCTTCCCAAAGATTTGGACACCTCTGGAAATTTGGACACCTCTAGATTCCTGCAGATTGCTATGGGTCAAACTGAGTAGCCACCAATATGATTGAATTTATGCTAAGAAAGACCCATTTTGTGGGTAATTGATACCGGCTTGATTTGCGCACGCACGACACGGCCAGTCATGCCTATTTACATCAGGATTTAGAGATTGAAACCTTCAGAAAATGTAAGCTAAAATCAGTGAAATGGAGTTGGCACTTGAGAAGTTATAGTACATAATACATCTATATATCTACTATCTATATTGGTACACATATATATATACTATCTATACTATCTATATTGCTTTGCGCCTGGATCAGCTTGGCCCAGCTCGTCGGATCCTCCAGGACCTGGGGATGGGAGTTGAAGTGAATTTGCAATATTCTCTATCTCCAGGATGAATATATATATATATATGATTATACTATATATATAGATATATTCATTATATATATATGATAGGTATATTAATATAGATATATAGATATATATATTCTATACAAACACCATATCCTATCGATAATGCATATAATATACAATTCTAGATGTATGTATGGGAATTACACATATACAGATATTAATGCAGTACTTATATAGAGTATGGTACTGGTATGTACATATGAACATGTGTTGATTAGAGTGTACATAATTTGTCGTTCCAATACATATGATACGTTGAAATAACCATATTATGATCTGATATAATATCATATAATATGGTATGGTATTGTAGATAATGGATCCACATACTATGTATATATATACATATGTATAACCATGTACATTATGTGTATATCTATGTATGTATGTATGTATATGATTATGTATATATATATATATATATGCATGCTTATTTATATAGTATTGTATTTAATATAAATATATCTATATATAATCATATATATATGTGATTGTATATGTATATGATTATATATCATATAAATATAAAGTCATATCTATATTTATATGATTATATATAAATATATATGATTATATATACATATTATTATATATATGATTATATATGTAGGATTAAATATATGATTCTATATATATGGTTATATATGATATATATATGTGATTGTATATATATATATGATTGTATATATGATTATATATATATATATGATTTATATATATATGTGTGATTGTATATATATATATATGATTATATATATATTTATATATATATATATGATTATATATATGATTATATATATATGATTATGTATATATTGATTATATATATGATTATATATATACGTATATATATATATATATGATCATATATATATACGTATGTATTATATATATATGATCATATATATATGATTATATATATATGATTATATATGTACGTGCGTGTAGTATCGTGTATTGTATTCCGAGACCCCAGACCCTACCTCAAAGACCCTCAGAAAAAATCGCGGCCATTGCATATACAACCTTCAGCCCTTCCAACATCAGACATACCCTCTGGGTAGTTGTTGTTCATTGCATCAGTCCTGCAAGGCGGAGGGCGCAAATTCGAACTGCAATGGATCAGCTATCACTCTGTGGTTGTAGTGATTTGCTTCAATTGCTCACATGGCTGCAGGCAATTTACGTGTGTCAAAATGGCAAGCGTCTCCAAAACTGCCCCTTTTTGTTCCCAGCTTTTCGGTTGTCCTCAGACAACACGGTTTCGTTACAAGGGATGGTGTGTGAAGTCAGTGAAGCCCAACAGCTGACGTCTAGGAATACAACTTCTTCAGTTTCTGGAACTTCGCCATCGCCTCGTTCTGCCTGACGACGCATGCCTGGTCTCCATCGGGCCACTGATAGCCAAGACCACTACAGCATTGCCGCAAGGTTCCGTCTGGGGGCGCGTAAGCGTGTCCTTTCCCGGCAGCATATGGACTGGGAATGCGGAGGTCCATGTCGTGCAGAATCTTCCCCAATGCTTCCTCGCTTTGGTTGTTCATATCATAACTCTTCACGCAGCAACGCCAAACTGAACCAGGCCGATATCCTCCAAGGCACACAGTCTGATGCTCGCCAAAGTATCTTCCGCACTTCTGCGGTTTCTCTTCCTCCGGCTCCTTTTTGCCCAAGTATTTTTGGAATTTCCTGTTGATCAAACCCTTCTTCTTTTTCGGCTCTGGCTTGGTGTAGCATGCTTGCCCAAGAGCAAGCTCGCAGGTTGAGGTATTCTGGTCACACACCAAGCCCTCAGCACAGCAATTCTTCTGCTCGTCTGCCTCCCACGGAGGCCATGACGTCTCCCCACATCCGGAAGCGCACGGCTCTCCTTGTCCCGGGAGGGCCGGGAGGGAGTTCTGCACACGCCGAGCCGAGGCCATCGAGAGCAGCAATAGGAAGGAGTGCATTCTCAAACTGACGGGATCTGACGGCTAAGTCAGCTAACTATAGATGGTGCTGTTACTTTGAGCCTCTGCGGATTCACCACTGACGTTGACCACGCATGTTCTTCGAAGTCCTACATGATTTTTCTTTTGCGTTGTGCAGCAAAAAAAATGTGGCAAACCGCGGGTGTAACCACTGAAGCCTGGAATGGCAAACAATCATGACGCATGACAGCTTGCACAAGCAACACACGCGGTCCTCATGATGAGGACATCGGCAATGTGGCAGTTGTTCTTTTTCAGTCGTGCTTGAAGAACAGGAAAGTCAGGCTGGTCAAGCAGCCAAGATGTGCCTTATGGCCCTCCAAAACGGTTGCCATGTTGAAAAAACATTGGTGCAGGTGAGGTGTGTTTTACAAACCGTTACAAACCCAGGATCCTCATCCTCCAAGTTCTCCAAGGTCGGTTGTGGGTTGGGAATCTTCAAGGGAAAAAAAACACAGAAGGAACGGCTTGGAACTTGCTGGAATCTGTCTGATGTATTTTTTTCAGAACTCGTCATACCGTGGTGTATATGTAGTGAGATTGGTTCTGAATATGGTATGACTTATCTGAAGTGGTCCCTCAATATTTGGGTACCCTGGGTGCCCTCCCACTTTCGGCCTTTCGGTCCTCTAGAGGCTCCATGATGACCAGAAAATGCGACCTGGACGCGAGATGACCGGAGGCCCTGCTGTGGCTGAGCTCCATTTCGATTCTTGCTCAGCGATTCGGACCATCCAGTCAAACATTGCTGAAAAATCCACAAATGGAAGATATAGAAAAATGGAGGATTTCGGGTTGCCAGATTGGCAGACATAGAGCTTAATTCTGGATAATTCTGGTTGAATAGTGGTGGTTGCTAGACCCGCATTCCACCCCATGACTTTGATCCAACGTAGCATCGTCCATCTTCGGTGACTGTCGACTGTCGCTGATTTTTGCGGTGAAATGCTCCGTGTGTTGCGACTAAAGCCAGTAAGTACCCGGGGTGGTCCCGAAGTGGTTCGGGTTCGGGTTCGGCTGGGCGACGGCACAGGGGGGGGGTTTGCCGGTGCGGGTTCGGGGGTTCGAATGCGATCATGGTCTACAATACTGGAGTACTGGAGATCTTAAGAGGATGGCGGTATTACAGACACACCCACATTATTGAACTAAGCTATCTTGGGGAGTTCCGAAACGTTCTTTGAGTCAGTGGCCCCATGGCCGGAATGTTCCATCACACTTGTGCTGGGGTTTCTGGAATCCTTGGTGGAGGGAAGGTCACATGTTTCTGCCGAGCAGAGCATGCATATTGTTACGTGCGGAAGTCCTGTGCATCCCATATACCTCAAACACACTGAACATACATATATGAGACCTAGGATGAATTACATTGCCTTATCTTCCATTTACATTGCAGCACGCTACCTTGCACTACTTTGTATTACACTACGTTGCATAATTACCCTACTTGACATTATATACCTTACATTACCTAGGCTGACCTTGCCTCATCTCACATTGCATTAAATTATATTCCGCTTACATCACATGACATTGCCTCACATTACCTCACCTTTCATTGCATTACCTATTACCTAATATACCTTACACTACACTACATACCTTCCTTTACATACCTTAGGTACATCATGGTACATCACATTACCTTCCTTGACCTCACACAGTACCTAACCTACCCAAACCTAACTTTAATACTCTACATGACATGACATTACACATTGCATCACAAGACGTTAAAATACATTGACGGTGCATTACATTGCATGTCCTGACATTACTTTCTCTTTTACATCTAATCTTCAGTGAGGCCGGGTTCGGATACGCTGGAGGCTCTAGGCGAAGCAACAGCACGAATTAATTCCATGAATCGCGCCCTCCACGCGCTATTTTGAACGGCCCTGTCCTTGCTGTGTCACAGAAATACTTTACAATATTCGGAAACAAACACAAGAGGCGCTAGAGGACAAAACAAATCACGAGAGGCAGTGCAAAACATCCGGAAAAGAACATCTGCCAAAATTACTTTGTTTCTAGCCTCGTCTCCCTCGGGGCCCTTTATGGTTGCCTGAGTCTAAGGGGTTGTGTCACTAATTCCCATGAGGACAATAAGGCTTGTCCTTGCTATTTCCTTGTAGGGGTTTTGGGTTTCAGTTGTTGTTGGGCAGCCCAGACCAAGCGACGGAAAAGAAGTGGAAATATCAGACGAGCAGAAAGGTTTCGTGCTTATTTCGGAATCTGCTGGAGGCCAAGCAGCTTGGCCCGGCTCGCAATGGTAAGAGAACCACAACAAGAACAAGAACACGAAGAAGAACTACAGCCTACAAGATGTAAATGTGTTTGTATTGCGGGGGGGACCCAGGTATACGACTTTGGTTTTGGGATCGGCTTCGGGTTCCGCTTCGCGAACGGTTTGAAACAGTGTTGTTTTTGGTTCGGGGAGGGAAGAGCAGTTGGGACTTCGGGTTCGGGATCGGCTTCGGGGTCCGCGTCGGGTTCGGCTTCGGG